TGTATGTATGTATGTATGTATGTATGTATGTATGTATGTATGTATGTATGTATGTATGTATGTATGTATGTATGTATGTATGTATGTATGTATGTATGTATGTATGTATGTATGTATGTATGTATGTATGTATGTATGTATGTATGTATGTATGTATGTATGTATGTATGTATGTATGTATGTATGTATGTATGTATGTATGTATGTATGTATGTATGTATGTATGTATGTATGTATGTATGTNGAAGATGTACGATTTCAATGAAAATAAGTCTGAAGACTGTATCGAGGAACATACATACGTATAAGAAAATGAATATTTCGATAGTAAAATTTTGAAACTTTCTTCCCCCGACGTACCGTCACAGTTGATTCTTGTACATGTCTGCCGGAAAACAACTAGTTTTCTGGCTAATGCCATCAGTGCAGAAAAGTTCCAATCTGAACAGCAGAGTGACTGGACTTGATAAACTTCAACGCGGCTCTACTACATGTGTAGAACCTTCATCTACGAGATGGTAGACAATATGTTAAGCAGTGCAGACGTACGTCCAGAGCTCTCTCAGAATTTAATTAGTAAATGTGTGAAATGTAATAGAAGGATTGCCAAAGGAGTGAAATGTGTGCTTTGTTCCGCATCTGTACATTTGAAATGTGCAAATGGTGATGAAAACTCAGTTCCAAATGATTTCAAGTGTGAACAGTGTCAACCAATTGATTCTGTATTCTACGATGCAGTAGAAGAAGCCGGAGGTGAACTGGATTCAAGTATATTCTCAGGCAGAAAGACGAAATGATTTCCGTATTGAAGAATAAAATAGCAATTCCAAATAATCACGTTGATCTTCTGAATAAATGCATTAATAATACCAGTACGGCGATTTCTATCAGCTGTTCACCGGAAAAAAACGCCGTAGGAATGTCCTCAAAAAAGTCAGTAACAAATACTTCATTTCATCCTGGGACGAGCAAAGAAACAAAAGAAAAAATTGTAGACAATAGAACGAGAGAAAATTGTAATAATAATTTGAATGTTCGAAGCGATTTGATGATAAAACAGAATAAAATCATGGTACCACAAGTATCATCAAATGTACTGAAAATTGAAAGAAAATGCAAGAAGATCATCAATTTAGTTAGGCATCTAACTGAGGATGTAATGGAACAGGGACGGAAAGATTGATGAGAAGTCAACAACAGAAACAAAAATTCAGAAAAAAACGACTTGTTTATGGTGAAAATGTCGACCTCACCGTTAAAGGAGTACCGAAACTGAAATCTCTGCATGTATGCAGAGTAAATAGGAATACCACATCCTAGGAACTGAAAAATGTTTAAAAAAACATTTTTCTGAAGTTGAATGTCAATCACTAGCTGCCAAATTTCCAGATCGCTACTCTTCATTCAAGGTGACTATACATGAAAAAAACTTTGAACCGGCAATGAATCCTCAAATCTGGCATGTGGGAACTCACGTCAGCGAGTTTTTTCACCTGAGACCCAAGATGACAATAGAAACTTGAACATTTCGAGGTTTGATTTTTCGAATTCGAATAAATTGAGCGTTTTTCATATCAATGTTCAATGCATATCAAATAAAATCGATGAGATAAATATCTCCTTAAGTAAGTACAGCTTTGATGTATTTTGTATCTCTGAACACTGATTGAGTGAAATTTATCTCAAAGTAATGAACTTATCAGGTTACTATTTAGCCAGTTACTACTGTAGACAAAAAAATATTCATGGAGGTGTTGCGATTTTTGTTAAATAAACTATTACTTATAAACCCCTCAATTTCAAGGAATGTTGTATTGATTTGGATATGGAAATATGTTGCATTGAGGTTTCGGGTGTACATGTTGTTAGTTTGTATAGATCTTGTAACGGAAATTTTGATAGTTTTATGAATACATTCGATGCTTGTCTACAAAAGATACTGAAGAAAAAAGTAAAGTGATACTTCTCGGTGATTTCAATATAAATGTTTTAACAACAACACGTTATTTTTCTGAACTAACAAATTTATTCGGATCTTTTGATTTGACTGTCACAATCAAGGAACCCACAAGAATTTTCCTAGGCACTGCTACCTGCATAGATAATATTATAACTAATATTCCTGATGATCTTTTTGTGACGGGTGCTCTTGAACCCTGTCTATCGGATCACTTGGGACAATACATGCTGAGTGAATTTACAGTTACATGAAAAAAGACGCAATTTATAGAAGATTTATTTCTTTTAAGGGCGCCTTTGATTGTTTCGACTGGAGTATTTTCGAAAACACGGATCGTTCTCCGGATGTTTTGGGTGAACTTCTTGTGGAGGTTTTGAATGGCTATGTGGTCAAGATGTTTCCTTTGAGGAGGGCGAGACATCATCGCGATCAAAGACCTCCAGTCAGTTGGTTGGGTGATGAATTGCGCTATAAGAGGAAAATCCTCTCAAGCATCAGGGTTGTCTAAAACGCTAGGAAAGATTTGGTAACCGAGAAAATCTTCAAAACATTACGCAAAGATTACAAAAAGTCTATACAACTGGCAAAACGAGAATCGTATGAAAGTTTTTTGGCATGTTCTCCAAATATCAGTAGAGATACTTGGAGGATCATCAATTATGAATGTAATAGGAGACCTTCAAGGAAGGTTGATACACCGCATTCGGAGAACGACTTCAATGATTATTTTGTTGACATTGTAGATTATCTCATTTCATCTCTTCCTGAAGTAAATTATGAAGCGACAGATTTCTTGAAAAATCTTAAAACANGAAATATTTTTTTTTGAATCACTGTTTTCATTCTACAGATGTATACATCTTATACAACATAGATAATTCATGTGACTTTGAGTGAGTAACAATTGTTTTCATTTTTAACATTAGTTGATTGATTGATTTTATTATTGTGTACACTGCTCTGTTATACAAGCTTTGTGATAGTTTTATTTGTATATATGACTTACTACAAATATTTGTTCAAATGTATCTCGTAACCAATAAACTATTCTATTCTATTTTAACTAGTAACATCCCTATTTCTTGAATAAAGTCCATGTACCAGAAATAATCTCTTTCAACATACTAACTGTGTAGGCATGTTGAGATAAATGAAATAAAGAAATGAAATTTCGAAACATTCATTTATCTCAACATGCCTACACAGTTAGTATGTTAGATCTTCTCTAGGAATGTGTATTGTTTTTGTTTAATATATTGAATGTAAGGTCTTGTTGTGTTTTGATTTGTACTTGTTCCTCGATAAGTGATTTATGACTGTTGAATTTATGGATTTTCAAGTTTTCCCAAATGTCCATGCGGTTTTCCTTGTTGACTTGTTTTATGAGTTTTATGTTCTCTGGTGGTGGGAAATTATGTTTGTTTTGTATGGCGTGTGTTGCGAGGTTTGATTTATATACATACATAAATCCAATAGTATATTTGGGCATAGTTTAATCTCCTATATACAAAGTTTCAACCTAATATGTCATACAGTGCGTTAGTAATTAGCCTTAAGTTTTCAGCTCTAAAATTTCTACAACAAAGCAAATTGTTTTATTGCATAATTTTTATTTTAAGTATTGTTAACTAATCTTGTTCATGTTATATAGTTTTTCATTATTCTCAAAGGTCTCCCAATCTGGGTTTTCCAGTGGGTTTTCTAATGTGTGGGCCTTTTTTGATCTACTTATCCTCATAAAATTTAGCATTCCCGAATATCTTTACTCGAGCAACCCATATATTTAGGCTTATTTCCATGTGAATATTGTAAACTACAAATAGCTTGATTTTCAATTCCTTTATTGTTCCTTGTGCCCCTAATCTTGGGACTTACCCGCCATTATGACCTTTTCCTACCTATTTCAATCTGAACGTCTTTCCTCTTCCTACAATGACCAAGTTGACTCCTCTCTAATTAGCTAAGTTTCCTAGAATGTTATCAGGAAACGGATACACATGCTTCTAAAAATGATATAAAATAAAGAAAGGTTAATGCAATCGAGCTGCAATAATTCGATAAAATTCAAATGATGAAGATAAGTACTTTTCTCATCATTCCCAATTCGATTTCAATTCAAGAGCCATCGATAGACAGCTGTTTCAGCCTGTTGAGCATGTACACTACCAATAGGTAGTTCCACTTATGCCTCGCTTGCTTTTACGCAATTATTTTTATCAAGTTCTGTTCTTGGTTTTTTACATTGTCTTATTCGTTAGGGAAGCTATAGATTATTCTGTAGACGACCCATACCGATAAAGAAGGCCCCGACACTCTGTCGAATGAGCCCCCTATGTCCCCCGTTGAAAGATGAACAATATTTCCATCCATCTCACCCCAGCCAGGTAGAGGTATACCGTAAAGACCGGCACTAATATCTGAGGACATTAATGTCGCCATCCCACCATCAGTTATGACCCGTTTGTCCCTTTGACAAACATCAGTTGTAAGGGTAAAGGAGCCAGACTCCAACCTGTTCAAAATCAAGATGGCTGTCGTATGTTACATTGTCATAATCATATGGTCTACTCGGTAGCTGAACTTGAAATTGAAGTCATTCTTGTCTATGCTTGTCTACTGATATGATATGTTGCCGTAGGCTATAGTTGTGGCGTGAAAAGTCATGATTGGTCGATGGTGTGCATGTTTGATGGAAATCGTTTCGGTTGACTGGTGGGGTAATTGGGTGGTATGATGTTTCACGCTCGACTGGGCGGTACGTTTGCTGTTGGTGGTGCACTGGTCTTGGTTTTGGATATGAAGGTTTTTCATAAAGCTGGTTCAATCTACATTTTGTTAAAACATGAAACCTGACTATTATTTAAAGTTTTAGATGAAGAACATTTCATCCTCCTTCAGTCATCAAGAAGTTATTTTTGATTCTCGGTTAACGAGTGAATCATTTTCGTTATAGATATGTAGATTTTGTCACAAATTGTTTCTACCCATAGAAGTTATTCATCAAATAAGTGTCAAACTGATAACTACCAATATTCGATTTTTGAAGATGAGTGAAATGAAAGTCGTACCTATTTACTTCTGACATTCATTTGTGGAAATATTCATTTCACCACCTACCTTCCTCTTTGATTTTGCAATCCTCATATCTCGCGAATTCTCAGCTTCCCCGGGAATTCTATGGCACCAAATAACAACTGCGATACTGGTGTATGTGAAAATCAGCACAATGGATGGGATAACGTATTGAAAAACCATCAAAATTTTCGAGTAAAGTACTTCGTACTCCTGTCCGATCCTTGAGAAATCTTCACGGCAGATATATCTGGAAGAAAACATAAATAATTGAAACAACAAATTTGATGATCGTTTTAGCGTTAAAAAAATCGCCGAGTACACTACTTCACAGGTGGTGTGGAAACGTGTGCATATTACATAGAACGTGACTTTTACAATTGCGATATCTCAGGAACAGTGATACTTCCAGAAAAAATTTTGGACACCATTTTTGTAGAGAATTTTGAGTTCTACAACTTTGGTTCATAGTATTTTTGTGATAAAACTTACGATTTTCGAGAAAAGCTCAAAAAACTTGAAATTTTGACCTATGGAACTATGGACAGATTGGAACTTTCAAATTTCCATTTTTTATGGTGAAATGAAGATCTTCACCAAAATTTAGCTCTGTCGCAATTTTTGTTATTTCATCACTGTTTTCAGGTCTAAATTGACCGGAATATTCTCAAATAACCTGTCTTGGTCCCGGAGATTTTCGCATTCTTCATGAAATTCAATCGAATTAAACTGGTGTTTGTAAACGTCACCTACAGCAAGCCAGTAGCGTTAATTAATTACGTTGGGATAAATGAATGACATTGGGAATGTGATGTGTATTGGACATCAATAGCTGTGAAGAATCATCAGTCAAATCACAGATTGAATAAATCTCCATTAGGGCTTGTCTCTTCGACAGCATTGTTTTGTTTGCTGTCCATCGAGCATTCTGAAAACTTCAAGTACCATACACATGCGTAAATGACTTTGAATTTATAACAAGATTTCAATGTTGTTAGTTGTACAACGCCTCGTCAAAATGAAATGTGGTATTTTTGACATAAGCCAACTTACTTCGTAAGGAAAATTGATCTTTATCATACTTTGGTACCAACCGAAGATTACCAATATTCACACTTGTAGTTGCACTACCCCGTACGATTTGGTAAAAACGTTTAAATGAAAAAAATGCTCCTGATTCATACATCAAATGATACGATTCTATCACTTCAGTGCTAATTTTTGTACTTAGTAGATCGTGTTGGCTGAGGGAAGATGAGTATGTAATCGGATGGGACCGAAGTATAATACAGATCAATCTTCCTCCCACTCTAATATCACGAATATTTTTGGAAAACTGTTTAGTACAAATCTCACAATGAAGTGTTTCTTGCAGTTGGAGTTTTCATACGCCAGAGATTCTAGTCCTACCTTCCATTGTGAAGTTTTCATTACCGTAATTTCGAAAACGGATTATCAGTGAATTAGTTGTTACTCGCGGTTTCTCCCGCGTAGAATTTTGTTTGTCACATTAGGTTTCGTGAAAGACCATTTTAAACAACAGCACCTGTGCAGCGTCTTACGCTAGTTGCACACACACCGATTTTGGACGGCCAGTATAAAATCGGCCGATATTTTATTGGTAGCGGGTGCTTGCACACTCACCGGATTTTTATCGGTCAAACAATCAGTTGCTTTGTTGTCGTAATTACCACGCATTCACCGAGCATTCGAGACTGGAATGGTCGGTAAAAAACCGGTGAGTATGAAAGAGTGTATTTAGTCATGTACGCCACTACTTACCGGTACAGTGGCAGTGGACGGCTGCCCACCGGTATTTTACCGGCGACGATCACCGGTCGGCGTGTGTGCCAGGTCCCGTTCCCACATGTGGTTCACTATTGGAATTTGGAAGACCGGTACAAAGTCGGCTGTCCAAAATCGGTGTGTGTGAAACTAGCGTAAAATTAGCAGCTAGCAGATTACGTGGGAATGCGCGAAAATGGTGCGACTCTTTAATACAAGAGTTTTCTTTGTGGGAGAATATGAAAAAATCTCTTATCGAAACTTTTCCTAGTGATGTTAAATTCGGAAAATTGTTCATTGAAACTGCAAACTATTCTCATGAGAAGGGACAAAAACTGAGTGATTATTGTTTCAAAAAACTTAACAAAATTAAAAAACTGAATTTAGACATCAACGAGACGAATATCAATTATTCGTTCATTGGGGGTATAAGAAATGAACACAAAACTTTCCGCTGGGGCAGCTAAGTTTACATCTATAGAACATCTAGCTAATTACCTGGACCACGCAAATAGTATAGGTATATGTGACTGTTGAGATGGGTACAATGTATGTACAAGGCTCAATCACATATGAGAATGTGTGACTGTTGAGATGGGTACAATTTATGTACAAGGCTCATTCGCAGACGAATCTGTGTGACTGTTGAGATGGGTACAATATATGTACAAGGCTCAATCACATATGAGGATGTGTGACTGTTGAGATGGGTACAATATATGTACAAGGCTCAATCACATATGAGTATGTGTGACTCTTTGGATGGGCACTATATAGTACAAAGCTTAATCACAATAAAAAAGAAGTGATTTCGAGATGGTTAGCTTATAAGTACATAAGTATTCTATGAAATTGATGGTTTTTCTCTTCTAATAGATGAAATTACTGAGAGTTCGACTGGAGACAGGCTATACGACAGGATGGCCTAATGTTACGAGATCAACTCTATGTTTCTACCCCTTGGAAGAGTCGCCTGTTACGCTAATGCATATCAAATGATAAAAAAGAAGCTGATTCACGAGTACGAATTGACAACGGAGAAAAAAAGGCTACGAGGCAATTATACGGTCAATCAGGCAGAATACGTGTAATATATTTTAGTTTTAGTTGCGGGATATTTCCAATAAAAATATATTAGCAAATACCAGACTGTTATTTTCATTATCATTACAGTTAGTTGTTGTCTTTCACCTGAACATTGGTCATGTAATGCACCTCTCCGGGATATCGCTATTATTCTGACTCCAACCCCGGAGTGTGTCTTTGTAGAGTTGTGTGGAGTTGTAGTAGTTTAGTAGTAGTAGTTTAATGATTACCAAATTACATGTATTAATAAAGCATACAATAAAAAAAATGGGCAAGTGATATAGATATAAGGACAGGTTTGTCAAAACGAATCTTATTATTGAATTTTTATCAGAGGAAACATTGGTATTGATGATTCACGTAAGTTTTTGGAAAACTTGTCTGCGAAACATCAATATCGAAATTCTTTCCTTTGAAGATGGTCAAGATATAATATATTTTGAGCTACTTGGGCAAAACATTTTAGTGCTAAATAGTATTAACAATATCGATATTATTTTTTCTAAAAAGTATTTATTAATATTCTTAGTATACTACAAAAAAGATATACTGAATATAAAATCTGGAAATATAAAATGTCTAAACGTGTAAATGATGTGAAACATATAAAACGTAAAGATTTAAATGTGTGAACGTATAAAAATATAAAAGTTACAATATAAAATACAAACTCGTCTTGAATTAAAAATATTCAAAATGCTACGTTGGGATGCAAACTATATACAGTGTCATCCCCAAAGTATGCACCATATGGGAAACTTATTTATCAAGGGTTTTTTGACAAAAGTTATTCCCAATAATAGTTTCTGCATCCCCTAAAATTGAAAATGCACCAAAAAATACAGGAAAACATACGTAATATACGAAGAGCCTTCAAATATTTGATTTTGAGACAAGAGTAAAGTACCCTTATTTGGAAAAATCTCGGAAAATATTATTTAAAGAAGTTTTTCAACATTAAAAAATTCACCATGATTGTAAGTCATGGTCATCTGAGTGGAGTTTTTTTTTGTATTTTTTTTTAAATGGGGACTACGAAAAAAAATTTGCTAAAACGATAAATAGACAGCATTCTTCATACGACGGTTCATTTTGAAAGCCTGTAATATTGAAAATTACACAACTATGGTTATTTTGTTTTATTGCTGAACAATTTTTTTGAATTATATTTCTCAAAAATTTTCAAAATAAGAGTACTTTACTCTTGTCTCAAAATCAAATATTTGAAGGCTCCTCGTATATTACGTGTGTTTTACTGTACTTCGTTGGTGCATGTTAAGTTTTAGGGGGTGCACAAACTTTCATCAGGAATATTTTTTGTCGAACAACCCTTAATAAATGAATTTCCCATATGGTGCATACTTTGGGGATGACACTGTATAAAAATGAAGTCATCAATTTAGTAGAATTTGTTCATCGTAGTAGTTGTTATATGTTTTGGAGCAAGATTGAATAATTTGGGTCCAATATTTGTAATTGATCTTTGTCCAATAGCTTTGTTCATTTTTGGTATATCTAAGTTTGAGTCGGGTTTAACATCCATGTCGATGATTTTTTAACTCATTTCTGTTTTGAAATATAAATATTAATAATTGTTCAAAATAAATATATCTCAAACTTACCTTATCACCATATAGGAATATTTGTGCCGATGGGAAACGGAAATTCAAATTATAGATTATTTTGAGAATTCGTTTCTGTAGTACCAAAAGCGGTTGTTCAGTTGTACTATAGATCCCAACCTATCCTAGAGTTTCATACATTAGGAGAGACTGGACTACCTAAAAATATATACTGCGCAAATCATTGATACTCAGTATATTTTTAGGTGTTCGAAAAATATACAAAAGGGCTCTGAGCCTTTTACAAAGATAGTCTATATGTATTTTCCAATTAAGATTATGATCAATGTGTATTCCGATATATATTTGTGTGACTAAGTTAACTTGCCATCAGAGGTGGATCTTCCATTTTGAAAACCAAATTGGAAATCTGAAAATATATAATGTCTCTCTGTGAACGTCATTGAACGTTTTTTTATTATTTTTTTGAATATTTTTGCCAGATTGGATATTATGCTCATTGGACGATGTTAAATTTTCAGACATATTATCAACATTGGTATTTTGGCTGAAATTACTACCCCAGACTTCCCTTCTTGCCAATAATTCTAGCATTTTATAATCAACAGATATAGATATGTGTTAGGTTTGTTTCGTTTTTTCTTGAGGCGCATTGAAATTAATGATTATAAGATAATGATCTGTTATTTTTGACTCGATTATCATGGCCGTTTACTCATTATCTTGAACAAAATTATATTTCATGAATATATGATCCATAATCGTTTTTGAGATCCTCTATAAATACGTTTTTATC